ACTACTAAAAATTTAAATTAAATAAAAATGAAAAATAAGTAAATAAATGATTAAAAGTAGTACATATAAAAATATTTGAGTATTTTATTGTTGTAAATATAAAATTACAATAAAAAATATATTTCATTTAAATTGTACTTTATTTGAGAGTAATAAAAAGTTAAAAACATTAAAAAAAAAAAATTGAATGATATTAAATAAAGCGATATAGTGTTGATAGAACAAAACCAAAACCGAGCAAAAACATCAAATACCCAATGACAAAGGCCAAAAAGATGTTAAGAAAAAGAAACATTATATCGAATCCTGAATCCTTTCGTGTAACCATGTAGGGCCTTAGAGAGCAAGGTACGACTAAAACCTACCCTCACGAGTAACAATCTTCGTAATCTTCGCAATCTCAGGAGCCACGGAGTTTGCCTTTATCGATTTTTTTTCGCCACTAAATTTAACAAAATTGTAAATTTTCGCCCGAGCTACATTTAGTTCAGCAAATTGACCCATAAAAAATCTTACACACAAAACTTCTGGAACAAGTAGACGGATACGCCTTCTAGAAAGTCCACGTTATCCTCTTTCAATCGTTGATGCAAATGACACATTAGAAGTATTTTACTCACTTAATTACTGAAATTGCCATTTCCATGTGCCCCCAAAACGCTTCTGCCTATATAAACGCTTCTTTACACAACAAGACAAAATTAAAAAAACTCCATTATAGCAAAAAAAAACTCTCTCTCTCTCACGCTCGTTTCGTTTGTCAACTGTAAAACCCAGAGAGAACGATTCAGAGCTTCTTCAATGGAAAAAGATGATGATCACAACACGGCGGTTTCTCTTTCACCTAGCTTCAGTACTTACTCCGGCGATCGACTCTGCGAGATCGCCGAACGAGTTGTTCGGACATTTTCGGACGACGGTTATAAGGAAAACGGAGACGAGGAATTCGAATTTGCGATTCTCCAAACGTCGTCTTCTTCTTCTTTTTCCGGTGGACTTATATTCCCTGTTTTTTATCAGAATCTCGTCTCCGAAACAATCGCCGTTGAATCTGAACCGATTTTGGCTCCGTTGAAAGATCTGTTCCACCGTCAACGTAACGATCCACCACCGCAACAGATTTACTCGTCTTCGTCGGATGAAGAAGATGATGAGCTAGACGATATCCCGAGCGAGATCTATTGTCGATGGACACCGGCGAGATCTACGGCGGAGATGTCACCAAGTGGAGGTTGTAGAAAAAGTAAATCTACTGGATCTTCTTCGACATCGTCATGGTCGAGGAAACGGTGGCGTATTAGAGATTTACTTAAGAGAAGTCGTAGCGATGGTAAGCAATCACTGAAATTCTTGAATTCGAGCTCCTCCATTAGAGAGGAGGAATCTTCCAAGAAC